ATAAAAATAGTATAATGACATATTTAAAGGTAAGTAAATTGTAGTAATTTTGGTATAATCTCGTTTCAAGCTTGCTGTGAACTCGAGTACCATCTCGTGACCAATTTTGGTATATGTTTAGTCTTATAACTGAAAAGTTGTTTTCCATCTTACTACTACATTTAGTGTAGGTGAAGTTTTTAGGAATTTTCCCTCAACAATTGAAATATAAGCTTAAAGCTGCTAGAGAGTATTGATTTCTTTTCTTGATATGTATAAGAACCGGAATAAATAGAAGGACATATACTTTGAAAGACCAATAATTTTTGCATTATCTTGTTTAAAGTTACTCCAGAGAAGAAAAAAAAAACACTAATTTTATTTCATCAAAAATCTACTATATAAAAGAGTAATGGCACTCTCCAATTGAGTGACATGTCAGCACAAGTAAAAAGGACACGTGGCTCAGGGAAAAAAAACTTTCAGACTTTCCAATGAACGATCGTCTCTCTCTGACTGATTGTCTCTCTCCTTCGCGATAGCACTTCCTTCGCCATTAACTCAGGTAAAGCTTTCTCTTCAATTGTCTCTTTTCCTTATTGACATAATGTCATGCATCTCAAAAAATTTTGCTCCTGTTTTTCTTTTTTAAATTTATATTGCAAAGTCAATCTTATTGTCCTTTAAATTTTCTCCCTTTTTCACGAATGGAATCAGTGAATCTCTGAAAAAAGATTAGATTTCTTCTCTGATTTCTTGATTTGATTTGTTGATTTTCCTTTTCTGGATTGCCTTGTGTAGAGAAATAAGCCTATTTCTTTCCTTGAGAATCTAAGTTATATAATCTATAAGAACACAAAATTGTCAAAGGGAGACCTTTATTAAACCAAAGAGTTTGATTACAAATTAAGCCTAATTTGTACTTGTTTCTTTTGCAGGTATGCTTACACACTGAAAAAGAAGAACCCTAATAAACTCTTGACAACTCTCTCTCTCGATCTTCTCTGATCAATTTCTTCTTTTATATAGATAGAGATTTCCTTCTTCAAATTAGCTTTGTATTCTGCTGGACTTTGTAATCTGCTGGGCTTCAGATATATTGGTTTTGGGTTTGACCCGGCCCATAAGACAAGTGACCCAAAAAACCACAGCCCACAAACTCCACCTGTTTTTGATCACGCTAACCTAATCTCATTACTCTCACACCCAAAAGACCGACACTTCATTTTTCTCCTTCATGCGGCTGTCTCATCTCCTGGCTTCGGCTTCATCAGAATGCATCACCGACTTCATCTTCGCCCAACTGCATCGCCGATTCTCCAGCATCGACCGTCGCAGCAGCCGCRGATTTCGCAAAAGACGCCTCTCCGACTTCGGGCCTTTTCCAAGCAAAACCCGATCAGCTCCTTCARYATTTTTCGGCTTCGATTTCATTTGCCGGAATCGCTGGCTTCTTCTCTTCTTCGYTGATGAATCGCCGCCGTCGATGAATCTCGAAGCAGCCGAGTCGCCGAACCTCTTCYCCGGTTCTCGCAGCAGCCGCCGCCGATCCTCGCACRAGCCGCTTRGTCAGAAGCTCCGGCTTCTTCTTCTTCGTCGGATCCGCTGATTCTCGAAGCAGCCGTYTCGCCGAGACTCTTCGCCGYTTCTCGCAGCAGCCGCGGCGTTAGCAGAGCTTCTTCTCCAGCCGACGCCTCCATTCGCAGCTTCGAGTCTTCGTCGGGTCTCAACCGCATCCGTCGAGTTTAGGCTTCCAAACCCGAGTTACTCCTTTGRGATTTCCAAACTCCTATTTCCAGTAAGGTAAGCACACAATTCTCTTSCATTTCTCCCTTTGACCTCTCGCTTGTTATCAAACCAGAAACACTTGATATTGACTCCTTCAATTTCAGATT